TTGGAGTCAGCATACACTAGGAGGGACAGAGGGGGAAGAATAGCAATAGCACTTAGACTCATATACCGCTTCACAGTGCTTTACAGCAGTCTATAAGCAGTTTACAAAAGTCAGCATATTGCCCCCAACAAGAAGAGTGAATTCAGAAGCATGACCAATGGACCTTTGCCAACTTCTCCAGCAACACAAACATTGGTAACATTTTTCCCCTTACCAACCAGATGTTGAAAGATACCAAAGCCCCTGAAGCAGCTGAAGCCAGATTTCTACCTGCCAGTGAGTCTAATACACCAATTGATATTTCCACTTCTTTCATCTATCTTGTGCTTTTTCCAACCAAATAAGGATTGTCAATCAGTAGTTGACACCTTTGCAAATTTATATTCCCACAACAAAATCACAAGAAGATGATTATATCCATGACAAGTAAAAAAAAAATTGGACATAAAATTTCAACACTAGTGACAAACAAAAAAGAAACAAGAGCTAATAAACGTAAGTTTATTTTGCAAGTTTACTTATGAGTTCATAATAACAAACTCATAGGATACTCATGGAAGATACAAAGAAAATAGCATTTAGAAAGAGATATAAAGATAGACATGGATTAGAAGATGAGTTTATTTCCCATTTTGTTTGAAAAGAAATTATTTTTGCATAACCTGCAACAAAGCAGAAAAGTGGACTGTCCTATTTCCCAGTGGATCCCACCATCATTAACTACAAATATGTGAAACGATGCCACAAAGAAAAAGATCAAGCCCTCTGCCTTCTTTCCTTTCTAGAAGTTTTTCTTCAAAATATAATATTAAAGAATAGCAAGAAATTATTTAATTAGAGCGAAATCCATCTAACTTAGAAACACTGATCTGGTTCTGCACCACATATGGACCACCAAGCAACCTTGTGTGGCCCACCAGCATTTGTTAAAAATCCACTCATGCCAGGATGGATCCATTGCTGCCATCACCATCCCTTCAGGCCTCACCATCAAAACCAGCTCAGAACTGCTGCTACTTTGCTAGCTGCCAAACAGCTGAAGGGTGTCCCAGTTATTCTTTTGCAGCCCATTATTATTTTTAATTCATTACTGTGGTTCCTTCCCTTCTATATGTTCTGCTAGCCTGATGTACTGTATACTGTACATCAGTAGTATCACTTGACTTTAGAATTTTTTTCCCATTTACACTCCTTTGAAAGTGTATAGCTTTTTTTTTTTTTTTGCCTTAGATACACACTGAAATTTATTTTAAAAGAAAGTATGGCTTTGAAAAGGCTGACATAAAAATATGTCATCAGTCTAAGAGGTACAGTTTCCTTTTTTGAAGCTTAACATTTATAAATTAATCCTTGTTTCCCACACACCATTTGAAGGCAAGTTCTATTCAGGTCTTTGAAACCTCGAAGTGTGGCAGGAAGACCAGGACAAATATAGGCTCTCCAATTCACTTAAAATCCTATCCTTGTCAACATGAGGAAGCTGTGATAGAAAGATGTGGGTATGATTTTCATATGTCTGAAATGGAGCTGTAATATAAACAGAGTGGCAGGTAACAAATAAATATTGAGCCATAACTTAAACATAAAGAATCTAGCACACGAACATCAATATGGTTGAAGCAAACATTTTAAGAGAACTTTGTCATGATGCACATGCGTGGCAATTATTTTGAAGTTTACATTTTCTGCTTGCTTTCTGCCAACATGATTTTCAAAATATGGTTTTAGAACTTGTCTTCTCAACTTCTTTTTCCAGAAAGTCTCAAGAAGAATAAGTGCTAAACAACAGGTTAAAAAAAGAGGCAGAAAGTAATTATTTCTTATGTTTTTATATTTTTCAGGAAAGAAAGCTCTCTACACATCCACAATATAAAACAATAACTTGTTAGAGTATAGTAAAACATATACCGATTCAGAGGATTTTAAACATGAATATTCTGAAACCAGAAGTTTTACTCTTGGGACTGATGGATAAATAGTTGGAAAAAAGTCATGGAACTTAGTTTTTGCTGTTAATTAACTGCAGTGAGATCATTGTATGCGCAAAGATCGAAAGATTTGGCAATACCTACAACAGAAATGGTTGGTGAAGATGATGCAGTAGACCTTGCTGAAATGGTCAAGTTGATAATACCTATATTTTATCGCTGACTGGAAACTGCTTAAGAACTATTTGCATATAACAGGGAAAAAAATGAACTAATGATCTATGGTTTTGACAATTAGATAGGGTAGTTTATAGAAAGAAGAGTCACAATGCAACTTTAGAGAAAGGGATATAGTAAATCTACAATTGTATTAATAACTGTTGTAAAGAAAATCAGAGTATTTTTTTCTATTCTTTTTTCTTTTTGCGCATCATGTTTCTCTTTTACTTCATCCTTTTTTTCCTTCTTAGTCTATTTTAGTTTGCATTAAAATTTAGTCTTATTTTTTAAACTTCCAATAAAATTATAATTTAAAAAAAATAGCAAAACATAAAAGAGTACCAAAAACCAAATTTATAATTTAAAAGCTTAACATGTTAAAGAACAATTACATCAAAATAAAAATATATGTTGCAGAGGAAAGATTTAAAAAATACACACAACTTTAAAAAGGGAAAGATTAAAAAGTATGGAAGAATTTAAAAGGAAGGCACCAGAAGATGATTTAAAAAAAAAAAAATCAGTGAGTGGGATTTCTAAGGACAACAAACCTTTACTACTAGCACATCTCCACTGAATATTCCACTGATTAGTTAAATAAGAAGCTACTAAAATATAGATAATTGCAGCTGAAGACCTTGCTGATGAAAGGAGCAGTTAAGCAGCATTACAGATTGCTTGCATATAGCATGTTTTAAGGAAACACTCAATAATAACAAAACATGAAGAGAAAGAGCAAAGAAGGGCACACACTTTGAAGTGTAATTTTATGAGTATATTCTAACTTATGATTCTATATCAAATGACAATTCATGTTTAAACATCTTGAGTGTTCACTTTGATAATACTTCATTTCTACCTAAGAGCCATTTAAATTACTCTATAATTGATATCAAAAGCAGTTTGTTGAAATGCCTGCTAGTGTTCATTTTATGCTATTATTGCCAGAAGTATTTTATAGACTGGAAGATATCCTTGACTCACACCATTTGTGCTGACTTATACAAGCACAATAAAGTAAGTCAAGGGCAAAGGAAACAAACTGAAATAATGGGCAGTGATGAATGGTTTAAAAAATGATTATTCTTAACATTAGTCTTTGAAGCAACTAAAAAGAAATGATGGAATACATGCATTAAACAGTCTGAGATTTTAGACTTCTATTATTTTGAAAATGCTACAGAATACTTCCTTCGTCTTCACAATGAATAATTAAACTTCATATAAAAACATGGAACAAATCCTAATCCCAAAGTTAAATTACTTAAATTGGGGTTTTTGTTTTTTATGGCCACTTTTTATCATTTATCAACTAATCAGTAAGCACTGCTGGATTGCACTGAGTCTGCCTCATGTTATTATGCAATGGGATGCTCCCAAATGAAAAGGGTGAACTGGGCCCTCCACAAAAGAGGCTCTAAATCCTCAAGCCATTTCTCAACATTCATGAGAAGAGCTAATTTGGTGATGATGGCATCAACCCTTTATCTCCAGAACAATCTCTCTTTGCCATGGTCTTCTTGTGTATAGGTCAAGGCAATCTTTCTTTCTTCTTTCCATAGTTGATCAGATGGGAAGCCATGTGCTCAATGGTCCCTTTCCCCAGAATGAAGGCCACTGTGATCTTAAGAATTTAAGACTTTATTTTGTATATCAAGATCAGAAAACAAGAAGGGAATCCAAAGGCACAATACCTGCTTCTGAAGAGCCTGATTAAGTGACTTGTTTCCTTAGCTCGGAATCTCTGAAAATGTCCAAAGGCTAAGAGATCACAGTCATAAAATAAAATAAAATCTATGCCATATCTACTGTAGCTTCACTGGTATCTAATTTGCTGATAATACCCTGATTTATAAGCCAGATTTCTGTGAGTTTGGATTTCTTTTCTTACTTAGTTTTCAACCAACTCTCAGAAGAGCAAAAGCAAATCCTTCTTTAAAAAAAAAAAAAAATCCCACCTGCAAATGGAAAAATCCTATTCCTGATTAACTTTTCAACATTTGCTTTCATTGGATTTTGGATGCCACTGCCCATGTCCCTGGTTGACAAGTCAGATTTCTTGAGTATCTGAATCTCTTAGAATACAATGCGTATTAGCTTCCAAATAAGAAAGATGTAAGAAAAATGCAATGTGAAGGGTTAAAAAAAAGCCACTATCTGCAACAAAACAATTCAGAGTTTGATATGTACCAGTTTTGTAAAAGATCATTTTCAACATTTTGTTTTACGTATTGTATTTATATTACAAGTTTGTATTACAAGTTGCTTGTGACTGGCTGTTGAAAACAAAGGCCCCCAAAGGTGACATATGCAACTTTCCCTTTGAAAAGCAAGGCAGTAAAATGTGACAAAAAAAATAGACAAATTTAAAGTTTATAAAACATGTTTCAATGGCTGTTTATGTGCTACAAAGCTTCAATAACTTTTAATTAATTAAAAAATTAATATACTACTTTTTATCATTATTTTAGTTTTTTTAATAAACTGCTTTGATACCAAACAAAATAATAAATCTTTATAGATCCTGCCAATAAAAGTACAACTGGAAGTCAAAGATTTTAAATTATCTGGATTAAAAAATAGAAAGCTTAAACCCAGTATCTAAACTAAAAGAAACGCAGAGTTAGGAATAACTCCAGGACAATCACCAAATAAGTGCTCTTCCTTCAACAGAGTCACTGGGCAATGATATTGATGTGTGGCTACTGATTTTGCATACCTTTACCATACGGATGGGAGCATATTGAGAATATTTTATTAGTGCATATAAATCCTTGGGAAGACTCAAGAAAATTACAAGGGACATTCTTACCTTAACAATCCATTCTTAAAAATGTAAGTACCGGTACCTACCTAATTTCAGAGCAGAGGATGTCACTTCTATCTCTCCACCAATAGGTTGAAATGCCGCTAGCTGGGCAGCTACATCAGTCTCAAAAGCATCTGGGCTGTTGCCTTCTGTTAAACTACCATTGGTGTCATCAGATTTGGGGAATGCATCTTGTTCATCATACACGGCAATCAACTGTAAAATAAAACAACATTTTATAAAGCATTCATAGTGAGAATAGGATTCCTCCAAGGAAGCATACCGCCATATTACTATTTCATTTTAATCCACAGTGAGCTATAAATTCATTGGAGTTTTCTACCTTCCCCTCCTTTTCTGTTAATTGTCCCAAAAACTAAGGAGATAATCTTAAACAACATGTGTTTTTATGTTATTTTACAATCAAGCAACTAGCAAAATCATTTAATACCACTCCACAAAGGAAGGAAAGGATCCCCATCCATCAAGATAGGAGCAAAATCAGAGAAGAACAGGCAAATAGGATAAAAGATAAACAGTTAACAAAACCAAACTGATCTGGTTTTTACATCAAACAATACACAATTCTCCCTGAAAAAGGAACTCCATAGGCATAGCATTACTACAGAGAAAACACTGCTCCCTAAAATCACTCATAGATGTCCATTGTTAGGGTCACAAGGTACAACAGTGGATGCTGTTAGGGGTCTCAAGACAAGCACCTTGTAATGTCTGAAACTAGGCAATCTGTGAAATTATGTCATAAGACATAGAGAAAGATATGTTAAGATTTCTAAAATAGAGTGCTAAAAGATGTACACATGCCCCAAACATGAAAAAGGCAGAGAGAGAGAGGGACAGAGACAGAGACAGACAGAGATAGAACACACTAGCATATGTGAAACAGTATTAATTACAAAATCAAATATTGAAAAATGTTCTCACACAGTTCAAGTTACCACATTTATTAAGAGCAAACAATTATTTTTTGATCATATATAATGAGTGCATTAAAGGAAACAGAACTGATCCAAATAATATTTCATATTTTTTGCTACAAATCTAATTGAAACAATTGTTACAGGGAAGAATAACCAGTGACACAAACAATGCTAAAACACAACTCCTAACACTTCTTAAAACTGGATATGTTGCCTGGAATTTGTTGACTTCCGGTTGGTGAATCCCAGTGATATGGCGCTGTGACAGTGATCGCTGCTTGCAGCGCCACTTTTTTGTTGCGTTTTGGGGTCCCTTCGAGGCGTGGGAGCTCGGAGAGCTCCGCAGACGATAGCGGGGTGTCAGCAGGCAGAGCGGTGAGGAGCAAGCACTCTCTGCTGGACCGACTACCGCTGTCAAACTAACGCGGCATGTCTGCTTTAAATGGCAGACTTGAAGCTGTGATAGCCAACAAAAGACAGGAAGCAAGAAGATTTCGGTGAAGTTGGTGCCTATGATCATTCGTACTACTCTCCCTTGAACACGCTCCGAGTGAGTTCAATTGGATTGTGCTGGCTGCGTCGGATAAGAAGGATCCTGGAAGGAATTGGCGGCGATTGTGAGGTTGGAGGAGATTGGTGGGAGACGAAATCGCAGATGTGCCGGTGAGATTGAGGACACTTTTAGAAAGGGAGATGGAGCCTTCAGTGGATTGGATTGATACTTTGTTTTGAGCAAACAAACTTCGAAAGTTAAGAGTGTGGAATAGACTAATTGAATAAAGGAACTGGATTTTGGAAGTGCGGTAGTTGTCAGGACTAATAATAAGACTGTCTTGAGCTGAGAGACTGAGAAGGAGCACTTGGGGAAGATAACATGGCTGATGAAATCTGAATGACAATGCAAATGGAGAGTGATTGAACTTAAGAGCAACGCGAAGCAGATCATACAGCAAAGCGTGCCTGCTGCATCATTGTAAAAGAACTTTTTTATATTTTTGGTTGCTTTTCCCTTTTGCTCTTTTATGACTGAGAGAAGTTATTGAGCAATTAATCAATCAACGAGTTGGGCAAATAACAAAAAAAAAACATTAGAAAATTTATATATCTACAAGTATATATCTATATTAATATTATATACATTACATATTCCATTTTAGATAATCTAAATTAATTGTGAACTTATTTAAAATTTATTAAGTACTTTTTAGATTTTTTTTATTAAGGAATTTATATACGCTATAATCTTATATATTCTATAATTGGATTTTTCCTTTTCTTCTCCTCCTTTCTTCTTCTTTCAATTATTGATTCTTAATTTTGATTAGCTTTTTATAACTTAAAATATTGAATATTGAGATTGCATAATTAATTATCTATATGTGTACTTAGATTGCTCAAGATATATTAGAAAGTCATCAGTGCTTAAGTGTTAAATAAGGGTAGGTAAAGATAATTTGCTTAAGTAGTGGTAGCAGGTGAGAAGGTTACCTTAGTTAAAATTAGTTTAACTATTAATTGATTAATAAGTGACTTATTACAAGATAGATTTGTGCAACAGATAAAAATTTGAATTATTGAATTATTGTATTACTAAACAATATTGAATAGTGGAACGGAAGGGAACGATTTAATATAAATTCATTTGATAGAGGCAGTTAAATATTGGTGGATGACAATCTGGAAAAACATTGAAAATATAACAAGAAAACAGAAAAAGGTATTAAAAGAGATGATGAGCTTCTCATCCATGGTGACAAAAACAGGAAAGAAAACATCCTCAAATCCCACGATCACAACAACATCACCTGGTACACAGAAATTGACTGAAGGTTTCTCTAAAATGGAGAAATCAGGAATGCTACCCACAATGCAAGCAATGCAATCAACATTGACAGCAATATAGGACACGATGATTATGTTGCAAGAAAAAATGTCTAGTAACCATACTGAATTGAAGACAGATATTAGGGCATTAGATCAAAAAATGATTGGTATACAGGAATCGATACAAACTAATACACAGAAGATTAAAAAGATGGAAGTTAAAATGGAACAACAGGAAAAAAATTTAGATACGGTTGACCAAAAACTGATGGAACAGAACAGGGAATTGGCAGACTCAATTACCCAATTGGAAATGGATCGAGCCTCCTTCTATCTCCGTTTCCAAAACATTGCGGAAGATAAGGAAGAAGATATGTGCCAGGTGATGGCAGAATTAATTGCTGAGGTGTTGCAACAAGATAAATTGGATATTATAAAGGAAACTGACGAGGCGTATAGGGTCCAGACAAATTATGCACGAAGAAATAAATTGCCAAGGGAGGTGCATATAAGATTCGCAAGGAAGAAGGTAAAGGATATCCTCTATATTATGGCAAGAGATGATCCAGTCATGTATAAGGGAAAGGAGGTGATCATATTGAAACAAATTCCAAGGAGGGTAAGGTAGATAAGGAGAGATTATAGGTTTTTGGCTACTCAATTAAACAAAAGGAATATTCTCTTCAGGTGGATCTTACCGGAAGGCATGTGGATCACGTGGCAAGGGAATAAAGTTAAGATAGATAGCTTAGTAGCAGCTCAAGAGTTCTTGGATCAATTACGAGCATCTGAAAAGGATCAAAGCAGTAAAGAGGAGTTAGAGGCGGAAACATCGAAAGAAGAAGCAACCCAGCAGAAAAGAGAGAAAGAAGGGACATCGAAGGAAAAGGAGGAGGAAGATAAGGATAGTAAGGAGACAAAGAAAGACCAAAGTCCACAAAGAGTCACACGCGCCAAGAAGTATTAGGATAGTATACAAAAATTAAGAGATGGATGATTGGAAATTGATATCGGTTAACGTAAATGGCCTAAACGATAACAAAAAGAGGAAATTTTTTTTTACAAAATTAGCTAAACAAAATATGGATATAGTGTGCCTTCAAGAGGTTCATATTAAAAATGAAAATCAAAAATATTTGGAATATAAGAAATTGGGGGATCTTTATGCATCCCTAGCTGATAAAAAGAAAAGGGGAGTAGCATTGTACATCAAGAAGGAAATAAAAGCTGAACTAAAATATGCAGACCCGAAGGGAAGGATATTAATGGTGGAAGTTAAAAGAGGCAACTATCCAATTTTATTAACAGCAATTTATGCCCCGAATGAAAACCTAGGAGACTTTTATAAAAAATTAGGAGAGAGATTAAGCATGATGGATAAGAGTAAGATTTGCATAATTGGCGATTTTAATGGGGTAATAGATTCGAATAGAGATTATAAGGGGACCAAAGGTAAAAAGAAAAAGAGGAAAAATTTACCAAAACCATTCTTTGATATGGTAGAAGAACTCAATCTAGTGGATATTTGGCGGGTTCTCACCCATATCAGAGGCAGTATACATATTATTCTAATCCTAAGAAATCTTGGTCTAGGATTGATATGATGTGGATAAGCAGAGATATAGGGTTAGATATTAAGTCAACAGAAATCATGCCCAACATTTGGGCAGACCATAATCCATTAGAGGTTAAATGGGATGTACGCACAAGAGAAGAAATACAAGATGAAGATTAAATAATCAATTTGTAAAGGACAAGCAAAATGTTGAGAAAGTAAAAAAAGAATTAAATCTATTTTTTGAAGTAAATGAAAAGGAAGTAACATCTCGAGGTATCATATGGGATACAATGAAAGCGTACATAAGAGGACTAGCAATATCGTATAGTGCACATAGGAATAAGGAAAGAAGAGAGAGGCAGAAGCCACTGATAGAAGAATTAGGGAAAGCTGAGAGGGAACTACAACATAAACCAGATAATAAGGTTGTTAAAGAAAATTGGATGGTTATACGGCACAAATTAAACGTTATAGATCAAGAGGAATTGGCGTACAAAATGAAACGAACCAAACAATATTATTTTGAAAATGCAAACAAACCGGGCAGGTGGCTGTCCTATAGGTTAAAAAAAGAAAAAGAGAAAGGCATAATTCATCAATTGGAAGACCCGGAAGGCCACCTTAACAATAAACAGGAAGATAAATTGGAGATTGCCCGAGAGTATTATGCGGCTCTGTATGCGGAAGAACAAATTCCTAATGAAAAGGTGGTCCAATACTTGTCAAAAGAAAGTCTTCCAAAAATCGGGGAAGAGGATAAAGAAATACTTAATAAAGAAATAACGATAACAGAATTAAGGATGGTAATATCAAAACTTAAAAAGAACAAATCCCCAGGCCCAGATGGACTTCCAGGGGAATTTTACAAAAATTCGGATTTGGAGGAAATTTTG